CCTACCTTGCTCATCATAATGTACCTCGGGATTTTCTCTACGAGATCTATGACATCGAGTATTTCTTATTTGCTCTTCAGAGCGAATTTGTGGATCTTGTCGCCCTGTTCTATGTTAAATAGTATTTACAACTTGCTCTAAAGATCGAACCTCGGGATTTTCGAGCCGAAATCTATGTTCCCGAGTATTTCTACTTTGCTCTTCAAAGTGGATTTGGGGATTTAGAGACTTGCCCTATGTTGAACATTATTTAAATGTCGAGATTTTCCCGCCTGGTTTTATGTTGATTTGTATTGATAATTTGTTCGGACAGACTTACATCGGAATTTAATCTACGATTAGCGTGACTTACAGTATCTTGTGACTGTTAATTATCTCTATATAAAGAGTTTGCACGAAGAATTCTCATACGTCTTATATTCTGAAGACGACTTAGACCTTTTACTTAATTTTTACATAATTAATGAATAATAAATGGCTTACCAAATTATATAAAATACTTATATATTATACTTATATAATTTTGTTCGTCCGGGTGTGAAAGGTTAGGTCCTAGGTGCTGCTCTCTTTCACTATAATTATGTCCTTGCTATGACTCCTTTCCCGTTGGTGTATAGGTATTTTGGTTGAATGAACTGGTGTAAATGTGTGCATGTGTGTGTATAATAATAGTTTAAACACTATATAAGTAGAACACTGAAATTTCATTGAAGAAAGCACTTTGCTGATCAAGAAATCTAGTGTAACTGAAATTACAAACACAGTGTACTGATATTTATTATACTCTTACAACATGTTGCAACAGAGTATAATAGTTTTGTTATGGTATATTTTTGTACACACAGCTTACATGCTTTTGTATACCCATATATTACTTACATATTCACTAACGTAATAATACATAATGTTTTGTTATACCTATTTATATTTTAGAAATTAGTAGTTTATTTAATTGTATTGAAATTAAGGAAAACCCCTCCCTAAATTGCTTTTGTCTGACGCTTTTTAAAACCGAGGGATCTACGGTACCTATTTTGAAAGGTCTGCTTATGAAGGCTAAATTAAGTAACATTAATTAGAATTAAGTCCGTCCGTCCGTACAAGCTCTAAATTGAGTAAAAATTTAGATATCTTTATGAAGCTTGGTAGACATGTCTCTTGGTACCGTGAGACGGTTGGTATTGCAGGTGGGCATAATCGGACCACTGCCACGCCCACAAAACGCCATTATTCAAAAACAAATAAATTGCCATAACTAAGCTCCACAACAAGATACAAGACTCTTATTTGGTATACAGGATCAGAATAGAGAGGGGCATCTGCAGTTAAAAAATTTTTTAAAAGAGGGCGTGGGCCCGCCCCTAATAGATTTAATGTACATATCTCCTAAACCGCTAATGCTATAATAACAAAATTTACTGGAAGCAAATGTTTTTAGCACCTCTATTGACGGTGTGAAAATGGATGATATCGGGTGACAAGCCCGCCCTCTCCCTATATAACGGTACTGTTAAAAAATACTAAAAGCGCGACAAACCAAGCACTAAACACACCAGAGACATTGAATTTTATCTCTGGGATGGTATAAGATGACTTTAAAGGAAATCGTTCAAAATTAGTCAGTAGGCGTGGCACCGCCTACTTTTAGGTGAAAACCCATATCTTGGGATCTGCTTAACCGATTTCACCCAAATTTGGTGCATAACGTTCTTTTTATATTTCTATGGCATAGTGCAAAAATGGGCGAAATCGGACTACAACCACGCCTATTTCCCATATAACACCATTTTTAATTCTATCTGATTCTTTCACTTTCCACTATGCATATCAAGCAACAATGATTATATCGGGGTAAAATTTTGCGTGAATAAGACGTTTAAAGTATGCCATCTTGTGACCAAAAATTGTCTAAATCGAACCAAAACTGTTCAAGCCCCTAAGTACTAAATAATGTTCGGTTACATTCGAACTTAGCCCTTCCTTACTTGTTTTATTATATGAATTTCAATTATATATCTTACACATTGACCGATATTTTCAGTAAAAAGTCAACTATAGGCACTGGGGTCCACATATAACGTACCTAGGGACTTGAACAGTTTTGGATCGATTTAAACAATTTTTGGTCACAAGGTGGCATACTTTAAGCGTATTATTCACGCAAAGTTTTACCCCGATGCAATCATTGTTGCTTGATTTGCATAGTTGAAAGTGAAAGAATCAGATGGAATTTATAACGATATTATAAGGGAAATAGGCTTGGTTGTAATCCGATTTCGCCCATTTTCGCACTAAAACATAGAAATATGAGAAAAATGCTATGTACCGAAGTTGGTTGAAATCGGTGCCTCGCCTATTGTCTAATTTTGAACGCGCTTCCTATAAAGTAATCTAATACCATCCCAGAGATAAAATTTAATGTCTCTGAATATGCCTCTGCCTAATATGATCCTGTATACCAATTAACAGTCTTGTATCTTATTTTGGAGCTTAGTTAGGGCAATTTTGTGTACGTGGCAGTGGTCCGATTACGTCCATCTGCAATACCAATCGTCATACTGTACCAAGAAACATGTGCACCAAGTTTCAGAAAGATATCTCAATTTTTACTCAAGGTACAACTTACACAGACGGACGAACAGTCACCCTAATTTCAACTCGTCTCTTCATCCTGATCATTTATATAAACATAACCCTATATCTAACTGGATTAGTTTTAGGTGATGCAAACAACCGTTAGGTGAACAAAACTGTAGCACATGTTGCGAGAGTCCCATTGTCGTCAGCAAAGTTCGAAATGGTTTTAATTTAACGACAGCGACAGGTCCAAGCCTGCTGCCGTGAAGTCGGGCTGTTGTCTACATAACTGTTCCCATATGAAGGTGTGTATGTTAATAGTTGACAGGTGCTGACTGTCGCTTGTCGTCGTTTATGTGTTCAGCGTTTAATGATTTCTTGCGTCGAGCAAACCTATCAAACTTGTTTCGTTTTCTATTGTGCAATCGTCGTGGCTCGACTTGTTTGAGTCAGTGCTCAGACACCAATTGAAGCATGTTGGCAATAAAGAGTGTGTTGTCAACATTTGCTGCGGAGTGCATGTTGCACAAAGATCTGTGTAAGTGCCGTTTCACATTGGGACGCAAAAGAGTCTCACACCAGTTTATTGTGGGCGAGGGGACGACGAGGAAAGACGAAGGGACCGTGCCACTCGTGTTCGGGTGGCACGCTTTGTGTTCTTGTTCGTAACACTCGCTGCTACCCTTTTCAGCATTCCTTTTCACTTTCAAATCCTTTGAATGGTTGCAAGAGCGCTCGGTTTCAGATGAATTCGATCGCAAATTTGAGTTCTGTTATCTATTTTTGTATGTAATATGCAAATACGTATGCATAGAATAATAGAAATATTATGACAAATTGTAAATAAGGAGAAAATTAAGATATAGATTATGGAGTAAAGAAATTATGAATTTTTAATACGGAGTAAAGAAATTATGAGTTTTTAATACTTAAAGATTAGGAAATTGCTATTATAAATTTGGCCTTGAAAATATTAGTTGCGGATATTCAATACATTCTTGTGGATTAGGGAATTCCCGTCTTTAGTATTTTTTTGAAACTATTTAGCGGGTAGGTACTTGTACTATGCATATTGTTCTACCATATTCATGGTAATTCATTGCAAGCAAAATGTGTGACCATCATCTCAACATACAAATGAAATACGCAGCACGCAGTGTTGCGCGGTGTTGCGCAGTCGAACCGCACAAATATTTACGAACATTTTGTGAAAAGGAATGCAGAAAAACTAGACTCGAGTTGCTGGACTCTTTTTGACCGTGTGAATGCCCAGAGCGACACCAAAAGAAAATTTGAAAAACATCAGACTCTTTTGCATCCCTGTCTGAAACGGCACTAAGCAACCCCAGAGACTGATCGTGCAGTCAAAACAGAAATATTCTAAATGAATTGGAATTTCGTAGCTGTCGAATAGCAGTTGTTATTTTGTGTTGTGACACTACGGTTAGTTTATGTCTCTTGTGAACAGTTTTAGTTTGCTATATTTCGAAATACAGAAATTATATTTAATTAACTGAAAATGAACACGAAAAAAATGTGAAAACATAAACTTAGAACTTACATAGTGCAATTTTCCAAATATCTGAAAATAATAAAATTTTTATTAGCATTTATTTATTTATTTTTTTTCGACCACCTGTGTAAAACACGAAGGCGTTTTATTTAAAAATAAATAATTAAATAATAATATTAATATTGTGCATACGTTCTGTCCATATTTACGTACAGTCATATGTATGTATGGTATGTGTATTCGTTCTTGATGTTAGTAGTTAACTCCATAAACAAATAAACATTAAGAACAACTAATCTGCTTCGAAATACTTCCTGCCGCAGTTTGATTGTACACACCTATGTGTATATATATGTACATATATATGTACATACGTGTGTATACAAATAAATGCGTGTGTTTATCCAAAATAAATATTTACGTGCATTAAGGAAATATTTTATGGTTTAAAGGTGCAATTTGTCGGGTCCCTGATTTTTTTAAATTGACGTTGTTTAAAACAAAAAACTCTCCCCAATTATTGCTTCGTGAATTCTAAAATTTTATTAATGTAATAACGCCTTAGTTAGATTTATGCTTGTGGATCTTCTGATAATGCACCTGTAGATGATCTAGATTTAGATAGATCATATTTGATGGATCATCTAAAGGTGCTAGATCTAGTGCACCTCTAACAATCTCGGAAGAACTATGATATGCCGATATAATTTTTGTAGAAGTTTACTCCTTGTGAAATTTTATCTTTAAGAAGTATATTCTAACCGTTAAATAATCATATAAAGCTCCTCTAACTGTAATTAGGTCAAATATTAAATGAAATTTATTGCCTTCTGTAGTACTAACTAACGTCTTAATTATGTGCATATCATTAATTTATTATAATATTAATTATGTGTATATCAAATTACAGAAAGGAGGGGGATTTGTTGGTTTATGAGAATAACATGAGTAGTTTGAGACCAACAAGCATATCAGACGCCGCGTTATTACCACGCCTGGATAACCTAAGCAGTAATAGTGAACCGTCGTCGCCGATATCCCAGGTGGGCATGGTACAAACCACTGTGGCCTTTGCACCGCCACCAACGAAAACCAATTTTTCGACAAAACCATTGCCAGTTATAATCAGTAGCTCTCAATATAAAAACAACAATAATAACGTATCTCTGACGGTTAATGGTTATTTAAATGGGAGCGATAATGCCTCGAGTGAGCCAGTAAATGCAACAAATATGAATTTTAAAATTGGAATGAGTATAATTTGTTATCGCATTATATCAGACCTCCTCATTCTGGGATGTGGTGAGTAATAATCATAGATTTTTTTACCGAATGTTTATCGCGAAATATATAAGTATGAAATAACATTTAAAAATTTCAAGGAAACAGTTTAAAGAATTCACCTAAGCGACAGCAAAAAAGTCGATTATTAGAATCTGAGTTATGAGCAAAGCGGTTAGCTTAATTTTTCTTACTGATATTATTCTAAAAATTAAAAAAAAGGATGCATATTGTGTGCAATTGCTCTCATTATGATTTGCCCAAAAGAAATATTCGGTTTATTTGATAGGTATAGCTGGTTGACTTTCTTTTTAAAAGCCTATGGATTGTAAATTCGGCTACTTTTATATTTTTATAACGCTGAATTCATATAACGTTCGACTGTTTTTTTCTTCATTGGGCACCACAGGATGTATAAAATAGTAAGTATAAAATAGTATGCTTTCTTGACTGCTTTACTTGTAGTAGTGTTAATGAATTGAGTTGTTTCAATTGATCTTCGTATTGAGAAAGTAAAGTGTTGATTAATTGAATAAACATAGGAACACACACATGTGTAATTCTTATTTTGTTAGAAATGTGGGCATGGGGATGTTACCACCTAATAAAAATTGATGATTTATGATGGCGGTCGATTAAAGCAGATTTTCACCCCATGCTCATTCTTTGGATCGCAATTCTTAGGTGGCCATCTACAAGTTTGATTATCGTGGACTTAAGCCTTGCGCGTGTTTTCTTGGGTTATGCCGAGTTGATATCATCGATCATATTCTTTATACAATATGTATCTAACTATTTCAACAAACTACTCAAATTTAGATTTACACTCTTTCAATTTTGCGAACTTATAAAATTTGTATCTTCTAAAAGGGGCTTAAAGTTTAAATTAATGCCAACAAGTAAGGAAGAGCTAAGTTCGGATAAAAAGCCTCGGAAATACCTTCAGGGGTTGGCAAAACTTTATATTAAAAACGGACAAATTCAACATTCTTTGCTTGACGAAACCGTAAAGGAATTACAATCAAAGTTTGTATCTTATTACCTTATGTACATATATTATAAGTCGCAGACTCACTTAGTTTTATTACTACATTTTGTATAGTGAGATATATGTGATATAAGCTCATTCAAAGCTATGTTTAATATGAGGAAAACATCAACCAAAGGATGGGACCCAATTTCATTCTCGACTAATGAAACTCTTTATATGTAGTATATGGAAGCTGGGGTAATTCGTGGATCGATATCGCATATTTATTGCATTAAACTGTAGTATATCCAATATTAGATTTTCACTTAATATTGCTAAGATATCTGGAATGATATATACGGTATATAATTCTTATCAATTTTCTTATATAACGTATATGATGACTAGGGAATATTTTGTCTCGATTTTAGCCAGTTTTGGTATTACGACAGAAATAGATGTCCTTCAAATTTCATTAAGAAAGCCCAATATATAAGTATAAAGTGAAAGTGAATGCTAGAAAATTCGTATATTTTAGGTATATGAGGACTAGAGGAAAGTTTTGCTCTGATTTCATCCATTTTAGGCAAGAGGATACGCTGTTATTAGAAATATATTCTTTCTGAATTTCATTAAGATTTCTTACATGTTGGTCGATAGATGCGGTATAAAGTCAAGGAGGTTTAAAAATATTTATATTAGATATATGGGGCTAAGCGAAGTATTGACCAAATTTTACCTATACTATACAGTACTAGACCTCACAGATGCACCGATATGTTCAGTAAAATATTAGCCTGTATTCCTGAAAAATTAAAGTACGATTTCGACAATTTTTGGACGCAAGATGAAATAACTTGAGTGCTCTATTGTGAAAAGGTTTATTTTGATAACTTCATTGATGTTTGATTTGTATACTGTAAAGTGAGAATATACAATATATACGGTACCTATTTGATAGCTGCATTAAAAGTGGTGCTAACGTAAGTGTTGAAGCTTTTTTTTGGCTGCTCAAAAAGAGACAAAAAATACATAAGATTCTCATATTGTTACTTACTGCAGCTTAAAAGCTAAAACAGTTTAAGAGATAAGTCCTTTAAAAGACAAAACATTTCTCTGTACAAGTTTTTTTTTTGGTTCACTGTATGTATCGGTTGCACGGACAGACAGTCTCCCGGATTTCAACTCCTTTCGTTAACTTGATTATTTATATATGTATATATAACTCTATATCTATCTCGATTAGTTTCAGGTGATACAAACAACAGTTAAGTGAACAAAACTATTATACTCTGTAGCAACATGTTTCAAGAGTATAAAACTAATATTTGTAGACAACATATTTGGGAAAAAAATCCTTAACTCGATATTTTGTGAAATTTTCGTTTTCAAGATTATTTACAAAATTAACAAGAAGCGACGTGAATACAAAGAAATATTTTTTATTATATATACACATACTGTATTGTGTGAGCTTGTCTAAACTCTGGCTTAAAACCTAAATTAAAACAAAATATTATGTTTCTACATAGTTGGATTACCGATATTGGCATTTCATCTTTGGGGCACCCCCTATAAACGCGGATTTTTCTGTGACGATAAGTCTTTAAAATATCCATTCAAAAAAAATACTGTGGACAATTGGATGCTATTTCTGATGTGTTTCATAATTCCAATATCAATAGTAAGTACATAAATACATACATAAGCTAAAATATAACACACACTTACATATGGACCTAGTTATTAGGTTAGTTGAAGGATTCTTTTTACGTTTGGAAAAAATCCGAAGATATGTAAATAAGTATAACAAGTAAACATGTAACCGAACATTTTATACTCTCGCAAAGTCAAATGGTATACTCGTTTGAGATTTCTTTGTGGATTCATATTTAGTACTTAGGGGCTTGAACAGTTTTGGTTCGATTTAGACAATTTTTGGTCACAAGATGGCATACTTTAAACGTATTATTCACGCAAAATTTTACCCCGATATAATCATTGTTGCTTGATATGCATAGTGGAAAGTGAAAGAATCAGATGGAATTAAAAATGGTGTTATATGGGAAATAGGCGTGGTTGTAGTCCGATTTCGCCCATTTTCGCACTATGCCATAGAAATATAAAAAGAACGTTATTCAACGACGGTTGCTACAGAGTATAATAGTTTTGTTTACCTAACGGTTGTTTGTATCACCTAAAACTAATCGAGTTAGATATAGGGTTATATATATATACCTAAATGATCAGGATGAAGAGACGAGTTGAAATCCGGGTGACTGTCTGTCCGTCCGTCCGTGCAAGCTCTAACTTAAAAATAAAAAAGTAAAAATTAAGATATCTTTATGAAACTTAGTAGACATGTATCTTGGTACCGTGAGACGGTTGGTATTGCAGATGGGCGTAATCGGACCACTACCACGTCCACAAAACGCCATTAATCAAAAACAAATAAATTGCCATAACTAATCTCCGCAATAAGATACAAGACTGTTATTTGGTACACAGGATCAAATTAGGGAGGGGCAACTGCAGTTAAAAATTTGTTTTAAGTGGGCGTGGTCCCGCCCCTAAAAGACTTAATGTGCATATCTCCTAAACCGCTAATGCTATAATAACCAAATTCACTGGGAGCAAATGTTTTTAGCACCTCTATTGACGATGTGAAAATGGGTGAAAGCGGGTGACAAGCCCGCCCACTCCCCATATAACGGTACTGTTAAAAAATACTAAAAGCGCGATAAACCAAGCACTACACACGCCAGAGACACTTAATTTTAACTCTGGGATGGTATGATATGACTTTATAGGAACCGCGTTCAAAATTAGTCATTGGGCGTGGCACCGCCCACTTTTAGGGGAAAACCCATATCTTGGGATCTGCTTAACCGATTTCAACCAAATTTGATGCATAACGTTCTTTTCATATATCTATGTTAAGGTGAAGTCGGACTACAACCACGCCTATTTCCCATATAACACCATTTTCAATTTCATCTGATTTTTTCACTTTCCACTATGCATATCAAGCAACAATGATTATATTGGGGTAAAACTTTGCGTGAATAATACGTTTAAAGTATGCCACCTTGTGACCACAAATTAAATCGAACCAAAACTGTTCAAGCCCCTAAGTACTAAATATGTGGACCCCAGTGCCTATAGTTGACCTTCTACCGAAAATATCAGTCAATCCACAAAGAAATCTCAAACGAGTATACCATTTGGCTTTGCGAGAGTAGAAAATGTTCGGTTACATCCGAACTTAGCCCATCCTTACTTGTTTTTCATTAAAAATATAAATTCACATACATAAGTTGTAGAAATTGCTTTTTCTTTTAGATCACCACAGTCGAGTTTTTTCTTTCCCAATACAATAGAACCCATGGCCTCTGTAATATGACCTACCAGCGTTACTTTATTTGGCAATTGGAAATTGCTGACTGGATCGTGGAGAGTTACAAAAAAATCGGACTATTAATTTTCGGATCCGGAGTGGGTCAATTGACTATGGAGATTGCTAAGTATTCAATTGGACGTTTAAGGCCACACTTTTTTGCAGTAAGTTAATTGCTTCGAGCTCAATTTTTGAATGAAGGGAAATTTGACAAGGGTTGACTGAACAAAACTGCAGATATTCACATAGAAGTGCATACATTTCTCATATACAGGTACTATATGTATCTATTTATAAACTAAGTAAGTATATGTAAACAGACCCTGTAAGACAGCTGAGTATTAACTATGTGATATTATATAATTTTCGTTAATAGCAGGCATTCTCTGCAGACTACATACTCAGTTTTGTTCAGCCCAGAAAAAAATTAGCACTTTCCTTTATTAGTATGACAGTTTGTCTGTTTCTACCTAACTTCAATTACCTATATGTATAAACACATATGCATTGCCTGAGAAGCGTAAACAAACAACAATGTACAATAAGTGTACCATACATATTAGTGATCAAAAATTACTCATTTCTAGATATCTGTAATCTCGTTTATGTTGTTAGAAACACCTAATTGCTATTAATTAGTGTGCTCATAGCAGTGAGTATCATTATATACCAAGAATGATGGAATATAAGATTACCGATTACTTGTGACGCGATTCTGTTGAGTTGAGAAGAAGAAGCATAGAATGTAAATTGTAAACAAAACCGTAAACATTGTTAATTCGTGAAATATACATATACATTTATTAGTTAATAGTGAAAAAATCTTATTGAAATTAATAAATTAACGTTATTGGAAAATATTTTGCCCATTTTCAAATAAATACATTTATCTATGACAACATAATTGCCAAGTGAATGATTGTGATTGCGATGTATCCAGCATTAGTTTCTTATATGTATTATGCAGAAACATATATGGTACATATATTAATAATAGTTCTGATGTATTTAAATGAAATTATAGTCAGAAGATTCTGAAATTATAATTATTATGATTATGAAATATATTTCTCCTATAAAAATTAACATTTTTTTTGCAACTTTTTTCTCCGAAGGAAAACTGAAAAAGTGTTTTTAATGGTTTATTTGCATAATAGTTATTGCAACTCGCTACTGCACAGTTCATTTTTCAAAATCAATATATTTTATACATATAAATTTAAATAAATACAATATTCGCAATCACAATCCTTTCTATCCATTTACTTAATGGTAATTATAGTGATAAATGTATTTATTTGAAAATGAGGCAAATATTTTCTCTCAATATTAATCTATTAATTTCAGTAAGATTTTTCATTATAAACTTATGAAATAACAAAAGTGTTTACGTTTTTGTTTACAATTTACATGCTGTTCTACGCTTCTTTTTCTCAACTTAAAAAATTTACGTCACGAGATGACGGCACCGAAAGTAGTAACGGTAAATTATTGTCGTAATCTTGTATTCTATCATTCTTGATTATAGACTATAATGTCCACTTAAGTATACTCGTAATTGCACTCATTATACTCATAGTGATCATAAAATGATTAATAAAACCCAAGTATGTATATAAAGTGCTTTAAATAAAAACTTTACGTTTAGATATATTAACATTATTAATTTTTATGTAAACATTCTATATATATTTTTAATTCATTTAATTGTTTGTTTTTTCTCAAATAGTATTTTTCAAATTTTCAAAATTCCTTGAGTTCTCGTGTACTTTAATGTATTGAAAAATTAGATCTATTAATTACTCTTTAAAAATGTATTATTAATAACATTGAATATTTGTCTCTTATAGAAAAAAAAAACAAGAAAAAAGTTAATTTCGGTTGCACCGAATCTATAATACTCTGCACAAATAAAAAAGATTCTTAACAAGAGCTTTGATTTTTATGTTTGTATGGCAGCTATATGCTATAGTAAACCGATATCGGCTGTACCGACAAATGAGTAGCTTCTGACGACTAAGAGGACTAAATCGACTTAGATTGACACGTTGATCATTTATATATGTATTGTATATAAATTCGACTAAGATCTCTGACGTTTATTTTTGAATGTTAAAAACAGCGTGACAAAGTTAATATATCCTGTTCAGGGTATAACAATACTGAGAATAGATAAATTGATACACGTATGCATATAAATATGATTAGTTTAGCATCCAATTTCACATATCTTTTATGACTTTCTCCAATCAAGTTATAATAATTTTGCTTTTATTGTCAGGTATGTGAACCCGTCATGGTCGACAGTAGTACTTGCAATGACACTGTAAATGCTGACCGTTATATTGAGGAGTTCATTTGCACTGGCGACGCCACGCCTCGTATGATTAAGCAAATGAGCTTATCTTTTCCCAGCGGTCATGCGAGCTTCGCCTGCTTCGCTATGGTATACATTACGGTAAAATAAAGAGGCGCTAAAATTAGGTTTCTCTATACTATTTGTATCTTTATATATGTTTATAGATTTATTTGGAAAAACGTATGACTTGGGAACGGTGCAAAATGGTGAAGCACTTCATTCAATTTTTACTTCTTATGTTCAGTTGGTACACGGGGTTAACGCGTATTTCCGATAACCAACACCATACAACGGATGTACTTTCTGGATTTGCGATTGGGGCATTTTACGCTATTGTCTTGGTACGTTTCCGCAACAAGAAAGATGTTGTCACATTGCCTAACTATACTATGCTCTTTCCAGACACGAACAATGTGGTGACCACAGATTCAAATATCTCCTCCGGCGAAATCATCGTCATAGCCTATGGAACGAAAACTGCTTAATATTTACAAAATAATTTATTTAAATGTCTCTCAAATCAAATAAGTAAATACATACTTATAAACATAAGTATACATAAAATAAATCCAATAATAATAATAACTATACATCCGTTTTATTCTTTTGGGATTGACCTTTTGGGTCTGTGAAGATCAGAAATAAAAATTTTCAGACATCCAGGTTTAGGTTTATAAATCAGGGAAAAAGAAAAACACATAAATATATGGATAAATCTTTATCATAATGACACCAGATGTCAGACATCTAACTCAGTTGAATTGGCACGTGCGCATTGTATTAAAAAGTTTTCTCTGAAAGTACAATAAGTATTGGTCGTTGCTGCCGTTGTCGATCATCACTTTGTCGAGCCTTTCATCTTTGGCCTGTTTTGTTCTTCCGCGAATGATCTCAATTGTTTTGATATAAATAATATTCAATTGGTTATATTTCATTCCCTTTAAGTAGTCTCTTTTCGATGTGTCAAGCAGTCAGGAGACAACTTTTAAATCATAGGAAGTAAGGAAGGGCTAGTATACTCTCGTAATTTATATGGCATGTTGACCGACATAAATCATTTGAAATAATGTTAATGTAATCGGAAATCACTCTGACGGGTATATTGAGGCTAGGGAATGTCTAGACTTATTCGTTTCGATATGTTTCCACGTAATTGTGTGAAGATAAATCACACACCGATCTGTACATAAGGCAGACATACCGTCATTCATGGAACATTAAATATTCCAATTTGAAGAATATTGTATATGATTTGGATGTCACTATATTAAAAACAATTACTGTAATAAAATATAATTAAGAATTCCTCCTGCTAAGGAATGCTACTTTGGATTTAGTATGAGACTCAAACTTAAAAGGATTCTTAATGTTTTGGAAAACGCGAAATGCGCTTTTATGTTTAGCCGAACTTAGTCAAAGTATCGCATTCAATGTCAAGATACAGGAAACCGGAACGACGATACGAATAAACAGGAAAGTGGAATATATCAAATGAAGTTAAGTTAGGTTCATACGATTTATATTAAAAAATTACTGTGTCGTTCCTCTCCATGCAGAGGTATTTCTTAGTCTTTTTTCGTAACCGAATTCATAAAAAAGCAGAGTACGTAAAATTAATATAAATATAACATAAATTATCTTCTATTAATCAACTTACATTTATCCATTTATTTGCTAACACACATACAAATGTAAAAATGTATGATAACAATAACGTATTTATGAGAGAGCCAACTTACTGATCTGCAACATCTTTGGTGTGCAATTTCCAACAACACATCAAATTTGAATGCATTCTAAGCAATATGTTTCGCAACAAAAAGATTGACGAATCAACTTTGGGACTCTCTTGGCGCTAATTTGAAGGCAGGGTTACCAACTTATTGGTTTTCCCCCTAAATTTGGGGGTTAAAAGAGTCGAAAGGAATTTTTTAGGGTTTTTTAAATTTAAATATCGATTTTTTTACCTGAAAAATAGGTTACAGATTACAGATTACGTTCACATCAAAGCGTAGTAAAACAAGCGAAGCAAAATTGTTGGCAACTCTCATCTCATTACACTCTGAAAATTTGACATATGTACAAGTATTTCTATTATTTTTTAATTGGATCGACATACATTTTTGAAATGTGTAAATTTAGTATACCGAATCGGTTAAAATTAAGACAAAGCGAAATTTGAATAAATATAAGATTGGACTTCGGATTCGATATCCACAATAGATACTGATATTCACGATAGATCGGAGGTTAAAAAATATGTAAAGTTTGTTTTTGTTGTATAGCAGAGCAGATTCAGAAAAGGCTTCCAGACAACTTGTCCATATTAAAATTAATTGCTGATTTACATTCAGAAGTTGATACATCTGAGTTAAAACTGATATGAAACCAAAAGACATAAAAATGTTTCTATCGATAAAGTTTCCACTTTATGACTAAAAATTTAAGGTACGGTATCAAATCCTTGATTATTTTCACATTAAGTTATTATGAAGAAATATCATTTTAAGCAAAGAAAATCTCAATCATGTACTTCTTTCAAGAAAAGTTAATGTATGTCTTGAAACAATACAATACTTACTTTATATGAACAAAGCTTACAAAAAAAATGTACACTCCAAGAACGTTGGTAAATATTTTTTATAACAATTACAATCTAAAAACAGAATAATAATTCTACTTTTTTAGTTATCTGTGAGTATTAAAAATAAGGTTAAATTATAAAAGCATAACATTAACTTTTTGTGGGACTTTGAATTCGCAAAATCATTAATTACGTCGAATAAAATATTGTTCATTAGTTTTGACTCTATGCATAAAAGAGATGAAGTGTTTAGTTTTTCTTGACTGTCAGACTTGATGGTTATAACTCATTCATTTTAGTAAGAGAAGAAAATTTCTCGATAAATCCGTTATAAGCCTCTGCCGCTTTGCTAATTTGGATATGAGTTTATCTATGAGAACGAGAAACATGTTAACTCTGAAGTAATCACTTGCAGCCATTCGAATATCTTCTTCGGGAGTTTCATCAAGAGAGTTTTTTTTTTGGTTGTCGTTTTCCCATCTCTTTTGTATATTGTTTTGATACAATCAGTTCAGTAGCTATACTTGTAGTTGTTACTAGATTTAAGGAATGAGAAGAAGGCACGTAAAAGGCCAAAGGTGCTTGGTCGCGAATTTTCGCTTGCAAGCCATTGTACACGCCAGACATGTTCGCGACATTATTATATGACTGTACGCGACAGTCTTCAATATTTATACCCAGTGTTTTTAGTTCTAAAGTAACGGCAGAAAACATTTCTTCAGCCTTATGTCCCATCGAAATCCAAAACGTATCTAATAACGAGCGTGAGTTAATCTATGTGGGCTATATCTGTTTTTGAATCGATGATTAAGGAAAACTATTTCGCTTTTTTTATTTCGTCTCCAATCTTCTTTAAAACTTTCTGACCCATCAAGAGAATAAATTCATGGCAAGTGGTCTTTGATAAGTAACTGGTACTCCCTTAACCTTGATTTCCAAACCGTTCAATATGATGAGCCAGAAAAAGATAGAATTCCGCTAATAGTTCCAAAACCATACAATAATTTCCATTATGTGGATCTCCAAATTTTTAATTTTTTCCTCTAAAAGCGAGATCTCTTGAACACAATCGCTTTACGACAGCAACAACTCTCATCAGAACGATTCTCCAGTAAGTTATTTCTTCATCAATCTGGGCCTGCAATAAATTATTAGGTCGGTCATCAATCTTATTTCTATCTTTCAAACTAAGAATACTAGATTTATGATGGCCAGAATTTTCATGCTGAACTACTCGATGATCTGCATTTTTCCTGTAATTGAATCCTCTGTTCTCAAACTGAGTTCTACACTCCAATGAACCAAATGCCAAACACGGTCCACAATATACAGATCTGTTACTTTCAGACTAAACTAACCAATTTCGATCTTTTACTTCATTACTTTAATTTTTCTTTGGAAGATGCTAATTGGCAGAAAACGACGCTGATCAGCATATATTCTTTCACTTTTAGAGAAGTCACAAGATTTGTTTTGATCAAAGCCGTACCTTGCGATCATCTCCCTCAAGTTATCGTCAATTATCCATAGCGCGGGATCTTTACTTAGACTTTTGATCGTTTGTACTATTTCGACGTCGTTACGACTCAACGTTTGATTCAGAGACAAATCTTCATTTGACTTACAGATGATTCCGCTTCTGCTACACTGTCAAAAAAATACTGCTTTTACTTTCAGTTTTAAAAAATTTTTAAATTTTTACTGTTTGTCAGATGACTTCTTTCTGTTCTTCTTTTTTAATTTCTGCTCTTTTTCTGTACTCGGCCCCATTAAGTCGCTTGCCCCCAGCCCGCTTTGTTCAGATTTCTAACTTTGAATACTTACCTAATAAAAGCAAAACATATAATTATAAGTATGATAAGACAAGAATTTCGAATTTTTCATACACTTTTGTTATCAAGTCAAATTTACTGTTTCGCTACGGGTGATTTATCGTAGACAATAGAATTATTTTTTTTACTTAGAGTGAATTCGTATCGTACCCACCAGTGATGTTAATTTATAAAATTATTCACGAATCCACTGCAAAGTTACAGTTTACAACTAGAATGATCAGCTCCTGAAATATTAATATCAATGCGGAATATTAAATGTAAGACGCAAACATCCGAATTGACTTTCCTTTTGTTGTTCACTTAAATGCAATAAATGGATTGATACAGCATGATAATAAAATTGTGTTAATAAAGTTAATAATTTAAATAATGAAAACACTTTTTGGCTGAAAATAAAAATTCTTGACTCAAGAAAATTTTTGAAATTGAGTTGGAAGACCAAAATTCTTTGGGCCAAATATTTATTTCTTTTGAAATTAAATTCTTGAATCAAATGTTAATTTCTTGTTTAAAGTTTATAATTCTTAAAACAAGAATTTACTTGCTACCGGCAAGTAAGATTACCCTTTAACCAAGAAAAAAAATTCTTGTGACAAGAAAATTCCTTTCTTGATTTTTAAGTAGTCCCCCACCCCAAACTCTAAAAGTGAAAATGGGGTCTCAGTTTAAATTTATGTAGATGAAAAAAAACACATCACTAAGTATTGAGGATTTAGCGCAGTGGCGTGCGACTCTGCTTCATACAGAGAAAATCGTGGGTTCGATTCCGACAGACGTTAAATTCTTTTCAAGAACAACAATGCTTAGAAAGTAATTTGCTAAGTTCTAAAAGCCCAAAAAATAATATTTTTGAAAATTAAAATTTTTTATTTCTTCTGACAAAAATTCTTGAGCCAAGACAAAACTATTCTTGACACAAGAAGATTTACTTGAGCCAAGACACAATTTTATTAGAGCAAGAATCTAAAATTTCTCAGGACAAGAAAATATATTTGAATCAAGAAAAATAAGTTTACTTCGATCAAGAAAAGGAATTAGAAGACAATTTGTTATTTGATTCAAGTAAATCGTTTTTTCTCTGTGCATAGAGTAAAACTTATAGTAATTATTTGTGAAAAAAATATGTAAAAGTATCTTAATTTCAATGCTAACATCGGATCACTGCTGCGATGTTCTGAAAGTTCATAATGATTCGAGTATATGTTATAAAGCGTTTAGCAACTGTTCATAAATAGACGTTAAAGTATTTACTATATTGTCTGGAGTACTGTATATATTTTTTTAATTTTTGTTAAAGACTTTAGTTCCTGCAAAATTTTTGCAATTTGTCTTCTCTGTACAAATGTTAACTTTTTTTTTATTCCGAAAATCAAAATAAAAAATTTTCGACCAAAATTTGCCGCCTTAGACAACAGCCTACTCAGCCTGCTGATAAATTCACCGCTGTTCAAGTATGTCTCGAAATTTGGACTGGCATTTGTTACACTAAATATTTCAAATGCAAATGTGGAACGTGTGTTTATAATGTTGGGAAAAATAAGTTACGTAATAAACTTTCAATTGAGATATTACAAAACAGGAATGGTTCGGGTCACGTTGTAACGGAATGGTGAATCTTGAACAACCTTTCAATCATCCGAGAAAATATTAAAATTGTTCACTGCAAATGTATTTGATTGTAGAAACATAGAAACTTAATATATAATAGATAAAATATAATATAATTATAAATTTATTATTAATATCAATATTTGATTATTTATAGTAATAAATATAATTATAATTGAATAACTAAACTAAGTAAAACTTATGTAATAATAATTTATTATTTATTTTAATACTTATTATTATTAGGGGGTTATTTTGAAGTTTTAGAGAGAAAAATAGTTGTTGAATCATATTCGTTGGTGTAAGTTGTAGTTTTATTCTTTGCGCTGTGCTTGCTCTCCATGATGGCGTTAATGGCGATTCAGTAATCTGCCTATACTATTCTTCCTTTACAAAATTTATATTTTAATTGAAACACCAATTCGCAAAGGACTCGAGTTTAAATTAAACAAATGAAATAAGGATTTTGTGCAAAAATATACCCTTACATCGGCTGCAGTGCAAGAATGAAATCATGGCATTTCGTTATCAGTTCTGACAAAGCTTTCATTATTAGCCATTGATATTAGGTCTGTGTCTTAACTGCTAGTATCTGCTAGCTATCAGGTAGACAATATCAAAATGTTGTTTTTTACATTCATTTTAAATCAATTATTATAATATTTATTTTCACAATTCAAAACAAGAAAAAACGTTAACTTCGGTTGCACCGAAGCTATAATACCCTTCACAGATACAAAGGTTCCTTTCAATAACTTGATTCCGATCTAACTTCGTGAAGATGCCTCGTCAAATAAAAAAGTTTTCCATGCAGGCACTTTATTCCGATCGTTCAGTTAATATGGCCGCTATATGTTATAGTCACCCGATCTGTACAATTTCTTCTTATATTATACTATTGCCTTAAATAATAATCTATGCCAAACTTCGTGAAGATACCTCGTCAACTGAAAGAGTTTTCCATACAGTTTTCATTGCGATTGTTCAGTTTGTATGGCAGCTATATACTATAGTGATCTGATCTAAATAATTTCTTCGAAAATTACATTGTTGCCTTAGAAACGAACTCATGCCAAATTTCGTGAAGATATTACATCAAATAAAAAAGTTTCCCATACAAAGACTTGCTTCCGATTGTTCTGTTTGTATGGCACCTATATGCTATAGTGCAAAATTTCAGAACGATAGCTCTAAAACTGAGGGACTAGTTTGCATGTAAACAGACGGACAGACGGACGGACGGACAGACAGACGAACATGGCTAAATCAACTCAGCTCATCATGCTGATGATGTATGTATATATTTTATAGTGCCTCTGACGTTTCCTTCGTGGCAAACTTAATATATCCTGTTCAGGATATAAAAATCAAAGCAAATGCGTCAAATATCGCTGTATACACATGTGCTTAAACAGCTGTTA